CACCAGTTGAGAGGCGGGACCAAAGAGCCAAAGCTCAACCCCCGCAAGCACAATTAGGCGAGTACCTCTCTTGGAGAGATGTGGCAGCAAATCCACTGGGCCAAAGGAAATAAAACACCTAAAGCCCCACACCCTAAGGATCCTCAGCAGGAAGCTGAAGTACCAGCAACCAAATTAGTGGAAAGAGCAGCCAGTAATCAGCTTCCACCAGATGTACTAGCAATACTGAAAGGATTCAACCCATTCTCGCACTTTCTTACAGTCAATATTGACTTATTAAATACGTGCATATGTGACATACTAGTTTACCTTGAAAAGCTTCATAGAAAACACCGACCTTACCTAACCTTCTTAGTATGTTAAGATAAGCATCTTATTACTTCGTAATTACAATTATTACTTAACCTAGACCTATAATAGGTCATATTTCAATATGAATGCCATAACAAACATCAAGGAAGACACGAGCTGGGCAGACTGGGTGACAAAAAATGTCACTGCCATCCAATTTGCTCATGTTGGGATTTAGGCCATGGGCCAGGAACTTTAATTTAAGTCAGTGTCATTTTCCTCTAGAGGCTCTTTCATCACTTGTTTTACATTCAGTTCACAAATTATTGCTAGATGCACAGGGTCACAGCAAGAGCTCAGAATCAATTCACCTTGCCCATCACTTGACTTAGGACCTTTCATTTGAAGGAAAAAGTGTGTCAACTAATATAGCACACCACGAGCGTAGCTCTCATCCTGTAACTACACTTAGGTAATTACAGAATGCCTCTCAAAGCAAATTTATCAACACAATTTCAAGATTGAGGGATATTAACTTCCACACTGTATTTATATATTTTATTTTTAACATCTCTTGAAATAATAACTTTGAAAAGATAAAATTTCACTGTACCAGAGAAATGATTTTTGGATACTGTACAATATTACAAAAAAAATCACTGCAAATGTCGATTATATTGTGTACAAGTAAATACTGTAATTATACAAAATGGCTAAAATTGGAAAGCCAAATAACACAGTTGCAGAATATTTAAGAGTACCTAGAACACAGTGAATAAGAAAAAACTAAATTCATCAATCTGATTCTTAAAACCCCTACTACTGGCCACTCAACCTGAAGCTTAGATGAATTTGAACATCAAAGACATCAATGAAATTATGGGATTGGTACTCTTGCAGCTGTCCTAACACATCCAGGTTTTCATGCTACTTCAGCCATTAGTGCAACTTAACAAAATATACTTCTATAATTAAATACTAAAGCGTACATAGTGAGAATACATTTACTATACAGTACATTGCAATTTATATACAGCAACAAATAATGCCAATAAGTATTGATTGTGTGTTTAATGGGTGTTGAAGCACAGTATGTCCTCTGATCACAACTGAGGGACCCAGGTTCAGTCCACAGGTAGGACAGGAACAGTTGGGCATATTTCCTTTCACCTGATGCCTCTCTTCATCTAGCGGAAAATCAGTACCTGGGAGTTACACAAATGTTCTGGGTTGCACCCTGGGAAAGGTCAATAGTTGCCCTACAGGGACCTCGATAATATTAACTACAGGCTTCATGTCCTTAACAACAGGAATTATATCTTGCTTATATACAATAATTAACAAGCCTAATAACAAAAATATAATTCTTCCCATTTAGCCAAGGTATTATTTTACATCACAGGAACAGAACAAACTTAATACTAAGAAGCTAAGTAATGTCAGTGCAACTGCTGAACTATGGAATGAACAATTACATTTTTCAACACAGTCATGAAAAATGTAGAAAAAAAATTCAAGTTCTTCTAACACTGCTTTCAAACTGTTCATTACAAAACACACATGAAACTAGCAACAACCAAAATATTAACATGCATATGTGATGGAGAGGACACTTATAGACCTGTCTATAGGTCATAGTATCCTGTTGTTTCTATATGAGGTTATTGTAACAAATAATATCACAGAACTTAGTAAATAAATGAGCACTAGAATTTAAAGCCACATTAAATAAGAGAGTGATAACTTACAATAAGTCTTGAACAAAGTGTTCAAGCACCAAGTCAGTGACTCCAGCATTACAAACCAGCGTAAGATTTGAGTGACTAGTCCTTAATTAAACCTTATATATTGTTGTCTGGAGATGGTAGTTAGGTTCTCAGTTCCAGTAATTAATCAGTATTCACATAAAGTACATATTAAACTGTGTGAGGTCATGTCATCACCTATTTTAAATATTATAAATATAATGTAATCCATGTAGATAGGAAATAAAAATATATATATATTTTACAGAATGTATGTATGTACATTTTTTTTCTTTTACAAAAATGGATGAAGTATGATCATGTCAATAAATATGTAAGAACCAAGACAAATTTGGTGATTACATAAGCCACATAACATATGCAAGACTAAAATTGGCATAACTAACATCTTAAAAATATATGCTATGCTTCAATAGCAGCTATAAGTATATATTTCAACATCAGCAATAATAATTACCATAATTGCTATTTTACAAACTATCACAGTACTAAAAAGAGACTTCTCTATCTCTAGAACAAAGCACATTTTCAAATCATTATGTATTTAGTCTTCAATATTTTCTTCCTCCTGAATAAGCAGTGTTTGTCGTAATTCATCGTGCAAGTTTCTTGCATAGTTGATCTGCTGTGCCACCTTCAACAAAATGAAAAACTCCATGTTAAATAAAAATTACTGAATCATTTACTAATTATATTATAACGGTCCTGACAGAACACTTTTGCAAAAAACCAGAGTTGAATGTAATGAAACGCCATTTTCTGGTTGAGATCCAGAGGCTCCCTGGAGCTTACTATGATGATATCCTAATGTCAGACTTTGGCATTAGTCATGTGTCTGGAGTTCTTATGGGCCTGCCGGGGACCACGAGCCAGAACCTGGCCCACTCAGAGAGGCATAAGGAGCAATGGCCTATAGAAATCCCCGTGTGGTTGGAAGCATTCTATGTCTGCAATCGACCGGGTCAGGCACCCAAAAAGGTAAGCATCCCAAAACAAACCCCTATTCTGGTGAAATTATTGCTACCCAAAGCCGAACAAGTGGATAGAACTCTCCTAAAAGAAATAAGCAAACGATCATGACGTCACACGTTGCCTCGCCACACCGATGTCTGCGCAGCTCCCTCCTCCCCGTGAGGGGGAAGGGGGAGCCCCAGACCCCTCACGCTGGCTATCCACCCGTCAGTTCTGAGGCTGGATGTCAAAACACACGAAAAACCACCGACCGGAGGGAGGGAGGGATGCCGGGAAGTCTCCGGGTCTCACCCAGAAAATGGCGTTTCATTACATTCAACGCTGGTTTTCTGGGGGGAGCCCCTTTGGCTCCCCGGAGCTAACTACCCAAAGAGGAGTGTTTAGGGACCTACCTGGGAGGCAGTCGTTGCTCACTCCTCAACTTGAAGTCAAGACAACAGGCTGCAATCGCCGACTCAAGACAACACAGGCCCAGGAATGTACACGAGTTAACGAGCAGCCAGGACCCTGATCAACCTCCGAAAGCACCCGTGCCCGAATGTCAGCCCAGGACATGTCACCAAGACGGCAGCAAGAGCAGTGAATTGACAAACGCCATGGGCACGGGGATAGACCGCAGGCCAGCTAGTCTTATGAAATCTGCGGACAACATGGGAGACCCGCACCCGCACAAACCGGATCAACCCAAAGCGCGTCCCCGGACACAGAAGCCGTGGCGCACAAATAACGGTGAAGAGCCGCAACCGAATACAAAACTGGATGCACCCCTGGCCTGACTAACAAGCATCAATAACACAGGGACCCCTCCGGACAGCAGCAGTCTCACTCTCCACCAGGAAAGAAGGAGACGGCTGCAGATGAACAAAACCATCACGAAGACCGAAAGAGCAGAAACCCCTGCGCCGGAGGAGAGCATGAAGCGCCCCAACCCGACCACCAGAGGTCAATGCCAACAGAAAAACAGCCTCCGAGAACAACCTGAACCGAAGGGACCACAACAAACCAAGGAGAAGAAAGAAAAGAGATCACTCCGTCCAATGACCAGGACGGCTCAGGCGGTGCATGAGCAGGCCGGAGGTGAAACAATGCCCGAGACAGCTTGTGAAACGGCACAGAAGGAACATCAAAACCGAAAACATGCTGAAGCAGCTCAGCCAGCGCCGCACGAGAAGAGGCGACAGTATGGGGCAAGATGACGGCCCCCAAACCTCCACAAGAGAAGGACAAGACCATGACAACAATGCAGCTACCTAAGAAGGGACAGAAGGAAAAGGAAGGACCGCCAAAAAACCCCACACTGCCGCCAAGAAGCACACAGGTGGGACACCATTAACGAAGCCACCCAACCACCTTTTTACAGGATTTTACAGGAAAAAGATGGTTGGGTTGACTGCATCTATCTGGCTCTACCCGGTCGATGGGAGACATAGAATTGTTCCAACCAAATGGGGGTTTCTATAGGCCATTGCTCCCCATGCCTCTCTGAGGGGGCCAGGTTCTGGCTCATGGTCCCCGGTAGGCCCACAGAACTCTATACACATGACTGATGCCAAAGTCTGACATTAGCATATCAGCTCCGGGGAGCCGACGGGGCTCCCCCCAGAAAAAGCACAGCCACACTAAGAAAAATGTTTCTGCGTGTAAGAAAAGAAAGCAAGAATATGGAATATGCTAAAATTCAGACTAATAAAACACAGAGACAGTCGATAATATATGTTAATTTTACGTTTAAGATTGAGACACTATTACTTACCCTGCACGCAATACTTCTGGAATCACAACGAACTTTAGGTCTTTTGTAGGCCAGATCTGAAGGTCGAGGGATGCCAGGTGCCTCAGATTTTTCTGCTTTTAGACTTAATTCAATATAGTGCTTATGGTCCGTTTCTGATCCTTCTACTTGGAGAACAACTGGCTTGCACTGGTATAAATCTCTGGAAAAAACAGTGGCAAGCACTTTTGAATATTTATACTCAATTAAATAAATATTATAAGAATTTATATTCTGAAGTTTTACATTAATACTGAGATTAATGAGAAAGAGATGCATATAATTAATTTATTTTGCAAAAATAATACAGAGCACCACTTGGTTTCTGAACCCCTTGGGGACGAGATCCATCGGTTAACATGTGAGTTCGTAAACGAGAAATAAAGGGAAAAATATACTAAACATGTAAAAAAAAAATTACGAAAAATTTATGGAAAAACTCTAGGGGAAAAAATCGACAGGTTCATAGCATAAATGCGACCGTATTTTGTTTGTACTCACCAATAAGTGAAGTTTTGATCCGCTTTATAAAAGTCCTTAATTGTTCCTAGCTGATTATTAAGACGTCTGGCAAACATCCTCTGGATGTTGCCTGCCAGCCAGCCTACCAGCCTGCCTGCCTCACTCTGCCTGCCTCCCTCCCTGCCATCCTGCTAATGGGTCGAGTGTGTTAGGCTTAAAATACGGGAGTGAGCCGGTCTCTCCCCCACCACTGAAACCCCCCCCCCCCCTACATCCCATACTCTCTCTTCAAGGTCACGTGGTTCAACCACATGACTATCCCTGCCTCCCTGCTTGCCAGCCAGCCTGCCTCCCTCTCTGCCTGCCATCCAGCCTGCCTCCCTCTCTGCCTGCCATATCCAGTCTGCCTCCCTCTCTGCCTGCCAAAAATATACGATGATGTACATTTAAGAAACAAATCTGGGTCACAGGTTTGTCGAGTAGTTAGGCTTAGGCTTACGAAGTCAGCCGGTCCCTCCCCCACCACCGACACCCCCCTCCAAACCTTACACACACACACACACACACACACACACACACACACACACACACACACACACACACACACACACACACACACACACACACACACACACACACACACACTCTCTCAAAGGTCACGTGGTTCACCTCAACATCCATACATCCCTTCCTGCCTGCCTCCTTCCCTGTCAGTCGGGTCGGGTCGGGTCCGTCCGTCTGCCAGCCAGCCAGCCAGCCAGCCAGCTGGCACCTGCCTGCTTGCCTGCCTGCCTGCCTGCCTGCCAGCCAGCCAGCCAGCTGGCACCTGCTTGCCTGCCTGCCTGCCTTTCCCTCCCTCCCTAATTCTCACTACTTCCCTCTGTTCCTGCCTACCTCCTTGCATCTCTTCCTACCTTCCCCTCCCTCCTAACATCTCTCCCTCCCTTTCTGACTAATTCTCCCCCTCTCTCACTGATTCTCCCCCCTCTCTCATACTGCCTCCCACCTAAGCTCTCCCATCCATCCACTCACCAGTCAGCCATCACTGATGCAATGCGTGCATTTGGAGCCGACATGGTGCACAGATGTTTCTTAATTGTGCAGATAAGTAAAACAAAAGCACAGAATTAAAATTCCAGCCTTATGACAATTTAAATTAATAGGAATAATAGGCCGTGAATCTGTGAAGTCACAGTGGGCAAACTGGACCATCTCCCACCCAGCACCTCAGGCCGGCGTGACGCTTGGCGGACCCCTTCCTACCCGAACAGCATGACTCCCCAACCCCAATCGGGGAAACTAGAAGTTTCGGATAACTAAAATTCGGAAACCAAGTGGTGCTCTGTACAATGATGATGTTAGCACAGGAAAAAACAAGTGTTGAATGTAATCAAACGCCATTTTCTGGGTGAGCCCCAGAGGCTCCCTAGAGCTATCAGAGTGATACGCGATATATTAGTCTGGGGCATCAGTCAAATGGAGTTCAGCTACTCTCAACCCCAGTTCTGAGGCTGAGCATCAAAAACAAAACGAAACCACCGACCGGAGGGAGGGTGGGTGCCAGGAAGACTCCGGAGCTCACCCAGAAAATGGAGTTTCATATTCAACGCTGCTTTTCTGTCGGTTCACTGGACCTACATAAACAGAGATAAGGAAAAGAGGGATTTACCCAGGAAGCTGCTACATGCTCCTCAACTTGTAGTAAAGACAACTGGCTGCAACCTGCGACCCAAAGCCACACACGAATGACCAGGACCAGGAACGTCGACTAAATAACGGGCAGCCAGGACCTTATTCGACCTCCAAAATCCCCGCGCTCGAATGTCGGCCCAAGACATATTGCCAAACACGGTAGCCAAAGCAGCAAATTACGAACATCATGGGCACGAGGATAGACCGTAGGCTAGCTAGACTTAATAACCCTGTGGACGATCTGGGAGACCAGAGCCCTGGAACTGGGAACGAGGGAAATCGGATCAACCCAAAGCGCGTCCCTTACCACTGACGCCCGACTAACCAAGCATCAATGACCCAAGGGTCCCTCTGGAAAGCCGCTGTCTTGTTCTTCGTCAGAAAAGGAGGAGACGGCTGCAACCAAACAAACCGACCATGAAGGAGCAGAAACCCCTGCACCGGAGGAGAGCATGAAGCTCGCTAACCCAACATCCCCAGAGGCCAATGCCAACAGAAACAGAGCCTTGGAAAAAATCTTGAACTGAAGGAGCCACCACACACCGAGGAAAAGAGAGAAAAGAGAGCACCTGATCCAAGGAACAGAACGGCTCAGGCAGCGCATGAGCAGGCATGAGGTAAAACAAACCATGAGAAAATTTATGAAACAGCGTGGAAATGATATCTACCCTGAATGCAAGCTCAAGTGGCTTCGCCAGCACCCCACGATACAAGGTGACAGTATTCTGCATCAAATGATGGTCCTGAAAAAGCTAAGAAAGAAATGACAAAACAACCTGATCAGAAATACTGTAGAAGACAACCTATGAAGTGACAAAAATGGTGAAAAAGATTGCCAGAAGACTTCATCCTGTCGCTGAGATGGAGCTCGCAGGTGGGACACCATCAAAGAAGCCACCTGATCACCATATAAGTGTGATACACCAGCGTCAAAAACACCAGACGCGAAGAGTGGAGGAGACCGAACCAGCCATGTACTGGATCGGTCCGATCTGCTGAAAGAGGCAGAGCCATGGAAAACACCCCGGATTCGGACACCAAGCAAGCAGTGCCTGAAACCAAAGCTGGGCCGGCCATCAAGAAGCCATCAGGACTACTCTCACCTGGTAAGTCTCCAACCGAGCCAGGACCTGAAGCAACAGCTGGACTAGGGAAGGGGGGGGAAAGAGGCATAGGTAACCCCACCTCGACCAGTCCTGCTAAAAGACATCCATCGTGACAGCTCCACAGTCAAGGAAAGGCACCACATACTGTATATCGAGAGATGCAGAGATCACACTGACATGAAGAGGTCCACCTCTGGAAGCCCATATGTCTGGCAGAGCCAATTGAAGGAGTCGGCATCAATAGTCCATTCTGTAGACAGGGGAATGAACTGAGACAGGCCGTCCACCAGGACGTTGGACACTTCCCGGAAATGAACTGCACGGAGAGCAAAACTCTGAGAATCCAGCAGATGAGTCATTCGAAGTGACCAGCCACAAAGAGCTAAGAACCAAAGAGAACCCCATGTGGTTCAGATAATGAACCACCGGAGAGCAGTCCGAATGGAGCCGGATCGTGGAACCCCTAGTGACCTGAACCCTCTGAAGCGACAGCCAAAATGCTGTGAACTCCCACACCGTGCTGTGAACCCAACAGAAGGACGAAGCACACCGCCCCTAGCCAGCCTGGTGAGCACTGGTTACAAAACCCCGAGACATCCGTGAACACATCGAGCGGGGGCTCGGGTGCGCATTAAGGCACTGAATCCCGAAAACCCGAAGAGGAGGCTGGTGACACAGCAACCGACAGAAGGCCTCCGGAGGCCGAACTCAGCGATCATGAGAGAAGTGGAAGGAATGTCCCCGAAGGAACCAGAACAGATGCCGAAGCCAGACCCAACCTGGCAGGTAAGCCAGCACAGCAAAGGTCAAATTCCGGCACAGCTGCTTGAGCAACCACCAAGTGACCCGAGACCCCCCCCCCCCAGGTGGGGCCGCAGCCTCAGCAACGCCGTCAGAGGGAGAGAGACACAGAAATGGTCTGAGAGTCCCACACATGTCCAGCCAGGTCCGAACCTGGGATGGAACCAGATGGGACTCCAGTTCACCAGGAACCCGAAGCCGGTGAGCTGGGAAAGAACCACACCCCTGGCGAGCAGACAAGCAGACCGGCTGGGAGCCCACACCAACCAGTCATCGAGGTGGGCCAGAACTCGAAACCTCAGCAGATGCAGACGGGTCACCACGACCTGGGTAAGACTCATGAATACGTGAGGTGCCAGATTCAAGCCAAAAGAAAGGCACCGAAAGTGGTAAGCCTGCCACCACACAACGAAACCTAACCTGTCTAACCTGTGCTCTCTAGAGTGGAGTACTGCTACACAATGACAGCCCCTTTCAAAGCTGGAGAAATTTCTGACCTGGAAAGCATGCAGAGATCCTTTACTGCTAGAATCCATTCAGTAAAACATCTAAATTACAGGGACCGACTAAAGAGCCTAAATCTGTACTCCCTTGAGCGCAGGCGGGAGAGATACATAATAATTTACACGTGGAAAATAATTGAGGGGCTGGTCCCAAACCTGCACACAGAAATAACATCACATGAGACCAGAAGACATGGCAGGATGTGCAGAATACCCCCTGTTGAAAAGCAGAGGTGCAACAGGTACTCAGAGAGAACTCTATCAACATCAGAGGCCCGAGACTGTTCAACACGCTTCCACTACACATAAGGGGCATAACTGGCAGACCCCTCATAGTGTTCAAAAGAGAACTGGATAAGCACCTCCAAAGGATACCTGATCAACTAGGCTGTGACTCATACGTCAGGCTGCGAGCAGCTGCGTCCAACAGGCTGGTTGATCAGTCCAGCAGCCAGGAGGCCTGGTCGACGACCGGGCCGCGGGGACGCTAAGCCCCGGAAGCAACCTCAAGGTAGGACCCTGAACCCTAGATGAATCGTGATGTGCCAATATTCATCCTGGAGATCCAGAGGCACCATCAAAGAACCCGGCTCCAAAAAGAAGCCGGACCTGGGACGGAGTGGTCATCTGAAAGGAGGGGCAAGGAATCCAGGGGTTTTGACGGGACAAGTCCAAAATGGACCACAGATCCGCACAGTCCCATTTTGGTACTGGAAACAGGCAGGAAACTCACCTGAGGAATGGGATTGTTTCAACCACACCCAAGCGCACCCACTCCAAGATGGCCAGAAGAAGCAAAGGGAAAGAAGCCTGCCCTGCCAGCCCCAAAGTCCCCGAAGGTGGCTCCTCCCAAAGGCATTGGGAGCAGCTGCTCAATGCCACCACAGGACGGATGACATGACATGAAATGCCTACAAATCGTGGGACCAGGCATAAGCGAACAGCGTGAGCCTCCCCCCCCCCCTCTCCATCGTCCCGTCAATGGGACGACCCGCGAAAGAGCCAACGCCCCTTATGAGAAGCTAGCCGATGAGCAAAACAAACATTGCGCCGACCAGATGATGCTGACTCCGAAGGAAGCGCTGGCTCAGAAACTGACACCAAGGGCCCACCCCGACAGGAAGAACCCCGAGCCAGGCACGTCCCTTTCGAGATCCCCAAAAACGGCCACCACGGAGAAGCAACAAATCCAACTGAGGACAACAACTAGATGAGGCTGCCTGCAGAAACTGAATGACAACAGACTGTGCAAACAGCAATGGACAAAATGGGGACGAAAACCTAAGAGCCAGGGGGCCCAAGCGGATTCCAAGGAGAGAGCAAGCATGGCCTAGCGACACACGAGGCAAAGAACAGACGCAAAAAATGTTCTTTTTGCCTGAGAATAAGCGTAAACAGCTTCAACAGCGCGGCTGATGCCCTAGCCACCGAGGCCAGTGCCCCAGACAAAGGCCTGGCACTCAACGCCTCCACATCCTCCCCAATCTCGTCTGAGGACAACTCGAAAAGGGAAAAGAAGCACAAGACCAAGACCATGTGCCCACGAGCGTGGAAGTCTTCAGCCACCAAAGACGCCAAAAGGGTGGTAACCTGAACACACAGCTGAACAAGGCTAATATCCCGAAGAAGCACAGGGGCGAACAAGCACACATTAAGCGCTCAAACTTCACCCCCAAACCTGCAAAACGGTAGTAGCCTCCAGCCAGTCGAGCGTGCGGGTCCGACAAAACCCATGCCATGCTCCCTGTAAAAAGAAATGGCAGTCTGCAAGCCAGGAACACTCCAGAATTTTATAATACACCCAATATAGGGAATAAGAACCGTACTCAAACAAGGATGGATCCATCACAAAGGCATAATCTAGGTCTCGCAAGATGTAAGCCGCAATAGCCTCCCGAACCTCCTTAAGTGGGATTCGAAAGGCAGAAAATCTCCGGAAAGAGGGAGCCGAGGACTGAACCAAAGTCGAAGCGACTAATGCCCCCAAATCTGGGTCCCTATAACCAAAATGGGGCAGCCCCAGGGCCTCCGAGTGGGCAACCAACCTAGTGCTTTGCAACAGCATAAACTGGGCATACAACGCAGATGCTGCCTGAACCCGAACCTCAGCGATAACAGAATGGGGTAAACTGGAGCATGAGCAGAGAAAACGTCTCGCAAGACTCTGGGTCAAAGGTGTTTACCCAACAGGCAGCATGACGGAGGCCAAACAGGTGACCGTCACCCTGAGACAAGGCCACAGAACAACCTACAAACTCGCACAAGGCGAGGTGGAACTCAGAGGACACATCCATTGGTCAACCGAGCCCCAACGGTGTTTTCCAGGACCTGTAGGGGTGTCTTCTAAGGGAAGCCAAGGCAAGGTACTGCTAGCCAGTTAAACCCAAGAGCTAACAAAGTGGGATGCTCTATTAACTGGACCCCTGTGACATATACAAGCACAGGGGTCTAGAGAAGGGCCACCAATATACCCTATGTGAACTAATAGCAATAGCCAAACAAAGGAAGACTTCCTCCAGGCAAGAAAAACTAAAACAAAAGAAAATCCCTGCAAAAGTACAAAAGTGGAAGGTAAACATAAAACCCAAGGGTAGTACTTACAAGGCACCTAGGGAAGGGAGCCATAAGCGCATGCAGTCCTAGTACACTGTAGTTACTCCTGGCCACCACACCACAAAGAGCAGGAAACACCACAAAGGTACAAAATTTGTCAGGAAATCAAGCCAGAGTTGATGACTGCCCCAGAGTTCATCAGCATGGGGGGGGGATCCGGGGTTCCCCCCTCCTCTTCCTGGGGAGGGGAGGACTGCGTGGACAAGCGGAGCAGTGGTAGTGTATGACGTTTACTTGTTTGCTTGTTTCTTTAGGTTTGGGGGAGTTTTGCCTCTGTTTGGTCTTCAGTTGCAATTTCTTACCAAGTGGGGTTTGTTTTGTTATGCCTATCTTTTTGGGTGCCTAACCCTGGTCGATGACAGACATGGAATGCTCCCAAACACATGGGGGGGGGGGGGAGAGGGTGTTCCATAGGCCATTGCTCTCTATGCCTCTCTGAGGGGACCAGGTTCTGGTCCCCTCAGAGGTGGTCCCCAGTAGGCTGAAGTGCGTTGACCAACATAGCGTAAACTAATATGGCGTATATCAGTTCGATAGCTCCAGGGAGTCAGAGGGGCTCCCCACAGAAAAAACAGCATTTTTTATATAGCATTAGAATGCAAACGGCATTCATAGCATTTTTTGACAAGTCTAAAAGGATTATTGTACATTTTTGTTCATGACCCTTGCAACTTGCTCAGAAATATTTTCATCTACAATTAAATTCTTATTTCTTACATATGTTGTAAGAAATATCTTCCAATCATTATGTACCATGTCTCATATTTAATTTGAATTTGTATATAATTTAACTAACAATATTTAACCTTCAACCAAAACTTAAACATTAGTAAACATTATTAATGTCACAAAGATATGAATGGAGTGTTCAATGATTTACCTATAATAAACTGTAAGAACAGGTGTGGGTGTACTGGAAGGTTCACTCTGACTGAACACTCGCACCTGTTCACTAGATATAATAACACGCAGATCTTCTCCTCCTTCACGTAACACTTCGCAACCAAGGAAGCTGTAGGAGTACAAACCTTTCTCAGTAAAATAGTAAATTATACAATTGCAATGCAAGTAATTATGTCATTTATTTGTCTACCAATGCCTACTCTGTTCAATAAAATTATATATTTATCTCAGAACACCACATCAGTACTGTACTGCCCTATTATTAGTCTATTAATGTATACTTTAGTTTATCCAATTTAATTACTGTATTATCTTTAAATCTTTCATAATATTTATATTACAAGCACACAGTAAACTTTTGAGCTATCAGATACTGGATAGCTGAGTTACAAGTAATTTTTCAAGATACAGTGTACTGAACTAAACTACAACATTATAATGTATTTCACTTTATAATATGAATGTCAAACTTTACATTGAAACCCCCAGAAGATAAAACAATCCAAGAGTAAAACAATGCTAGTGAGTTGTTGGACTAAAATGGATAATAAAAACTATTACTGTGCCTACTGGCAAGCACAAGCAAGCACTTGTATCATGTATACAATCAGCAGTATATCATATATACAATCATTTACTCAATCAGCATTTTACCTGGCACTCTAAAAGGTATTCTTTGTCTATTTATGTAGCATAGGTCTGAGGGCTATGCGAGTGGTGTCCCAATATGCACAAATTATTGGTGAAACAAAAAATGAATAAAGGCATACAGAAGAATTTATGATAACCTTAACAACCCACTGCAGGAGATTGCCTTTGTTTTGATAATGGTTGAGGAAGGCAAGCAGGGCAGAAGATTGATAAGAGTAGAAGTAAATCAGGCAACACAGGAAGAAATGATCAGTAAACTAGTTATGTTTTCATCATAGCTGATCAAAAGGCATTCCTAAGCTCTCATATCTCAGGTTATGAAAGAATCAAGTGTTGAATGTAAAGGACACTTTCTGAATGGCTCTCAACAGCTTCCCAAAGTACTGGTCCAGCCAAGCCTCAGGGAGCTGCATTAGACCTCTGAGACCACCTGAACCCACCAGGAGCCAGGACAAGAATTGGCTCTCTGAGATCTACCTCTTGGGATGCAAGTGATTGAGTGTACTTTACTGCTTTCATTCATGGTTGGCCCCTTCACTGGTAACAGGAATGCTCAGTGTCTCTCCCACTGAGCCCGAGGTGGGTTTTGTATCATCACTTTCCTCTTTTGTTTATTTGGGATTCAGTTCCTTAGTTCCTTTCCCCTTCATCACATGAGTTGTTCATAGATGCATTGGGCCTTGGCTAGGGCTTTGTCTTCTGCTTTCACCATACCACTTAAAATTTGTGGTCCCCTCACCTTCAGCAGTTGTATGTCAAGGCAAGGGAACTTTAGCACTCCTCTTCTGCTGTGCTTGACAGTCCAGCTTTATGCAATTTACCCCTGTGTGGGTGAATTTTACAGCTGCCTTGCTTCTGCTTCTCTAATGTTCATTTTCAGCAATCTTTTTTTTCCTATCTAAAGTCACTGCTGTGAGCTAACTCTAATGAGCTACTGAATAACTAACCTAAAAATCAAGCAATGAATGTAATGACACCCATATATGGTTGTCCACTCTGTAGCTCCCTATTACTGCACCCTGACATTCGCTTCTTCCCAGCACAGTTTAGAGGTGTGATACTGGTGGCTCATAAGTGAGGCAGGTGGAGTATCAGGGCCCCAGGTGGCCTAGAGTATCACCTTATGGCAGCCAGGTGAGCTGGAGGCCGGGATGTCTCCAGGTGGCCTAGAGTACCATCTTATGGCAGCCAGCTGAGCTGGAGGCGGGGATGGTCACATATTGCTACTATTACCATTTTTTCCTTATTTTATTTGTTTCTTTCAAACAGTTATTTATTTTGCTTTGCCTGAACTTTTGGCTGTTTTTCTTTGTCTATTAGGTCAGTATCTGAGCCTCATTTTCCCCTTGCCTCATTACATTCAACATCTGATATTAACAAATACAAGAGAATGGTTGGATAAACATAGAGGAGTTATGAGAGAAAATATCACTGTCTTAAAGCTATTTATAACAAACCAGCAAAGGAAATTGGTACACCACAAGCATCTCTACCTGCAAAGACAAATAGGTAGTCCCACGCTGTATAACCAACTCACTTGCCCAATGGACACAACTTTCATGTTGATGCAGCTTACAATAATTTTTTGGTTTTGATCTTGTGGATGAGATAATGTATCGATAAATTAATTTAAAATTAAAATAAGGGGGGCAATTTTGTCTATAAACAGCACAATACGTGTTTCATGGTACACGTCTTTGGGACATGTTACAATATTTGCTTCGGAATGAATTACAGCACAAGTTTCTTTTCTTCTTTTGGCTTTCATCTTCTTGTAGATCTAATTGTGTGTAACACACACTAAGGAGACCATTAGTCCCACATTCCTACCTCATACTTATTATTTCACTGACTCAATGCTGAATATTTCTAAAAACCAATCTATGATAGCTGTAACTTTAATTAAGATTTTAAATGATTAAAATATTCTACATAAGACTTATACATATGTATCATTTTAAATGATACATAAGTTGTAATACTAGTGTAAAGTACAAGTAGATCCATGATAAGTAATTAAGTAATGAACAACACATACATTTCCGTCCCTCCTTGATCAAACGAAAGCAGGAGTTCTTGTCCAGCTGCTTGACTTGCAGAGTATCTTGGTATCATACCATTCAGCCCAATAACAAGTCTTGGTTTACGTGTACGCATGGGAATCTTCTGAGACGGGCTGAAAGAAAAATGCAGCACTGAAGCACACTATTGTATTTGGAACACACTGGCATCTTTCAACAGGATCATCTAATAATGATATAAGAGAGATGAGTAGTATTCCTTGATCAGTGTATCTTATGATATGAACATGTAGAAGGTGTAAGGAGCACACAGGATGGTGCAAGAATCATGGGGGCTGGTGTAAGGAGCACAAGCTGTCTCATTACTACTACTTCTAATGAATCTTAATATCTATTTGCCTTATTTTTGATTATACAATCATATCCTGGCAATAAGATTTCTCTTACATTCAGATTCAGCCATTTAAATATTGTTTGCTGACATTTGGTAACTAGCATCATTTTCCTGGCTTAGAAACATGCATTTACCAGATTAAACTGCATCTGCTAATCTTTCATTAATTTCAATCTTTATCAATCATTTCCTTCCTTATTTCTGTATCATGTCTGTGGTAGAATGTATCTTTCCAACTCTACATTGGGATTTGAGAGAAAACCACCTCATTTGAAGCACCAAATCAAGCAGACATTGACCATCATTTCTAACTGCTTACAAGGTTGCAAGGCTTTGGATCTTCCCCTCGTTTAGGGATTGGATGTACAATACAGTAGACAATTTTTAGCCCATTGGGAAAACTCCTTCCTACCACATTCTATTATATATATACCAAGAAGAAAAGCAGGTGACTTTTTAGGGAATGATCACTCTACATCGAAAATGTTGCTCTTAAGTAGCGAGTATGGGATGTTGAACATTTTCCCTCTGAGAGAACGAAAAGTAAAACCACCAGTCTTCTATTGGTGATGGTCATGCCCATAGGGTGAAAGCAAGCCTCTTTCATGGAGACTTGTGCAAAGTGTTCAGCTCTCACAGTGGCTGAACCCTGAAGCTGCAGCCACTGTGCCTCCCCCCCTCCCCCCATTCATCCTCATCACTGCCAAGAACAAGGGTTGTATCTACTACACATATTTTGAACAATTTTATACACTAAGGATGTAGGAGTAGACAAATTAATTGTGGGCACGGAAAAATGCAGACCCAAACATCACCCGAAAAGAAGAAGACTGCAGCAAACGAACAACCTACCACTAGGACCAAACGAGGCAGAAAAAACACGGACGCCGGAGGAGAGCTGGACACTCCCCCGACCCGACCCCCAGAGTCAATGCCAACAGGAAAAGGAGATCTGAAAAGCAAAACAAAAACACACCAGAACCGAAGGGGTCACGACAAACCGAGGAGAAGAAAGAAAATATACCACCCGGGCCAACGGCCAGGACAGCACTGGAAGCGCATGAGCAGGTTAGAGGTGAAACAATGCACTAGACAGCAAGCGGAATGGAGCAGAAGGAACAACAACACCAAACGCAAGCAGGAGTGGCCCCGCCAGCGCCACCCGATATGACGCAATGTCATATATGGCACCAGACGACGGTCCTGGAACAACCTCGAAGGGAAAGACAAGACAACCTTATCAGAAACCGAAGAACCCTTTGCAGTGATAGGAAAACCGGTAGGACTGCCAGGAAACTACACACTGCTGCTGAGATGAAGCACGCAGGTGGGAGACCAACAACAAAGCCACCAGTGTCCACACAAGCGACAAGAAACTTGAGACAAAAACCCGAGACGTGAAGACTCGAGGGGAAGAACGAACCGCCTCGTACAGGGCTGGACCAATCCACAAAAAGAGGCGGAACCACAAGAAGACCCTCAGGATCAAAAACCGGGCAAAGCAGCGCCCCCAACCAAGGCTGGCAAAGAACCAGAAGGAACGGCCGCCAGGGTACCAGGAACTCAATCCTGGCGAGCTGGGAAGGAACCAACCTGGGCGAGCAGACACCAGACACCGAGCAGGTCCGGGAGGAACCCCCTCCTCAGGACCAACAAGGCTGAAAACGGACGAGCCAGGGGCCCAGGCAGAGGCCAACGAGGAAAATGAGCACCGCAAACTAAAGTACAAGACGTGAAGCGAAAACAGCGACCCCGCAACCCACAGGAGCAGCGCAACCAGCTCCAGCAGGGAAGAACGACGCACGCGTCTCCAAGGTATACAGGAGGAGAACTACTCAAACGTGTACCGCAGGAAAACAAATATGTACGTCCAGGAAAAGAAACAAAAAAAAAAAGAAGTAGCCAGGACCGGAATTCTAGCTCCTCCCGTCCCAAAGAAAAGGAACCGAAAGAGCAGGAGCGGTTGATCGGAAGTCAACAACCACCCACAGATATTGCAACACACAAGCTGGCAGTGAGAAACAAGGAAAAAGTGAAAGAACTCAGTTCCATAACTGAGCACTGGGGCAGTCCAAAATCTGGGAACTGAACATGGACAGAGGCCCACCCCAGCACCTAACATCAGTATAGCCAATAAGCACCGACGAAGATACACAACCACGTGTAGCATAGAGGGAGGAAAAATGGAAATAGGCAAAGAAAAGTCCCAAATTATGGTCCAAGCACCGGCAGCTAGGGACAAGAGAGTACAACGAACATGACGAATGACGAAGATCCAAGCAGCAGCAGGTAACGCAATGTACACGACTAACCACATCGTGTGTTGTGGTTGGTCACACATACACAGAGGGACTCCATGGATATAAGGGTGCAGCCATGCACCTAAGATAGGCAAGGAAGGAGTGACCAGAGATCAGAGACCGAGTCAATGAATGATTATACAAAAAGCACGGACTGAGGGAACGAAGGAGTGTCCAGATATCGAGAAAAGACCCAGGTGCCGAAGGACTAAACAAAAGGCACCAAAATTTGGGGCTGCGCCCCACACTACAACTAAGGACAAGAGACACGGACAAAGTAAAGTCACTGTAAGATGCACGCAAAGTGGCCAAACAAAACACACACCACCACCTAACACCCCACCAAAAAGCAACAACCAGCACCTGGCCAACAATGTCGCCAGACAGAACTGTAGAACAGACACACGACTGTGTCACGACACAGCCAAGCCGTGTAATGTACCAGGAGCATCACTAGTGGAGAATGTCCAGAGGTGCACACCCAGTAGGAGAAGACGAGGTGCAGCAGTACAGAGGTGGAGGAGGCGCCACACCGCAAGCAGAGAAAAGAACTAGGTGACTGCCCCACATTTAAAATCCAGAACACCTCGAGTATCCAGGGGGGTCATGACTGGAGAGAAGAGGAGCGAGAACGGCGTATAATCCGCGAGAAAGGATGCGGAACACCAACACACGTGAACACCGCCCAAAACAAAACAATCACCCCAGCCCCTGAAGTCCGAACCACACACTCATCTTCCGGGGAGGGCGCCAGCAAGGCGTATGTAACGAACAATAGGAATGGCGAGAAAGGAAGGAGAGAATGCGAAGACAAAATAATGCGAAAACAGAATCGAAAGAAGACAAGTAGTACGGAAGAGGACCAATGAGTCTGAGAAAGGACTAGAGAGAAGCCTCCCTGGAAGTCAACAGACCTTCCAATAATATTTTAAGTATCGAAGAGTTTCGTGAACCAACGAGAACTGTGAGAAGCAAGCACAAATGCACAGAGGCACATATGGGCCCAAAGGCACCCCTAGCCCAAGGGACATGCAGGGATCCCGATATGAAGGGAACATTATTGCAACATGGAGAAAAGTACATGTCCAAGAGAAAAAGGTGAGGAAGCAGTGAAAAACACCACAGGAATCACGGAACAAATGGACCCGAAGGAACACGGAACCAAACCTGGGGAGGGGTTACCTTGAGGTGCTTCCGGGGCTTAGCGTCCCCGCGGCCCGGTCGTCGACCAGGCCAGGTCGTCGGGGGTAGGCCTGAAACCAACACGAACGCAGAGGGGGGAAGGAAAACCCTCACTCAAGAGGAATTGCAAGCCCTGCTCCGAGGGCACAAATTCCCAAGCGGGGCAAACGGGGCCTAGGCCCCCCAGGCAATCCCTCCCCAACCCCTGGAACCTACACGACAGGACCCGGGGCCGAGCCATCCCCCCAAAGTCCTGGCCTCAAAAAAAAAAAAGCTGGGGCAGCCGTAAAAACACTATGGAATGGAGCCCATTGATCAGACCCATACGGCACGGCTGGAAGAACAGGCTTGAATGCCTCCGCTGCCACCCCGGAAAAGGGAAACCCCCCCAAGACTGCCCGAGACTCAACCCAACTAGACTCTGCCCCAACTCCGAAACCCGCCGACGGTTCGGAGCCGGAAGCAAGGGGAAAGGAAGTATGCACAGTAGAAGAGGAAGGACTAGGAAGAGCAGATGCAACCAGAGCCGAAGCGACTCTCAACCCTATGTCCGGACTCCTATAACCAAAACGGGTCAGTCTCGGGGCATCTGGGGCTGCAACCAACCAAGCACCCTGCAGCAACCGAACCGAGCATGCAATGCAGCAACTGCCTGCACCCACATACTATGAGTAGTATGGGTGAACTGGAGCACGTACATACAACAACATCGCACAACTCCGGGCCAAAAGAATACCGACCCAACAGGCAGGAGGTGGAGGCACAATTAGTGAATGTCTCCCCGAGACAAGGAGACAGAGCAACCTTCAAACTCGCTTGCTTGTAAAAAGCGAGAGGGGCCTCAAGGGTCACATCCACCAGACCATGGAGCCCCCGTGGGGTTTCCCAGGGCCCTTAGTCATTTTAACACGCTAAGGGAAGCCCAGGCAGTGTACTGTGAACTGGCACCCAAGTCTACCTAAAGAACTTCTAAAAGCTGAACCCCTGGGACGTGTCCACTCACAGGGGCCTACCGGGGGATACCACCAACACAAGAAAACACACACACCGACCCCAACAACAGGGAGGGAAAGGACAAGGCAGAACCCCCTAACCAGGCAGGAAAAAACAAAAACAAAGGAAAAACCCCGCAAGAGGACAATGTACCAAGGCGGAACCGAGCCGGCCACTATAACAGGTAATAACTAGCTGTGCAGTACCTGTGCCCCTACCAGTGACGAAAACTACTTTCTACCCATAGACAAACCAGGGCAACACAACCCCTGCTGACCCCAAGGGCAGCCAAGTACCGAGTAGTAAAAGACACAGTGGAGGTAGATCCCAGGGAGACTTGTGGAAGGAGGTCCAAGCCGCAAGGGCAATACTTACAGGGCACCTAGGGAAGCGAACCCTAGGCGCATGCAGTCTGAGTACCGTGGAATATTACTCCTGGCTCACACACCACCTGTAGAGATGCCCACACCACAAGGCACAGAACTGAAACAAAACCAGAGCCAGCGGCACACGACTTCTCCAGAATCACATCAGCCAAGAACTGACGGTTGGATTGCCGGCACGGTGATCTGGTGCTCCCCCTCCCCCTTCCCCCTCCGGGGGAATGGGGGGAAGCACAGATGGTGGCGCGGCGGCGTGATGACGTCATGCTAGTTTGCTAATTTTGCTTGGGGAGTACTATCCACTCGTTCGGCTTTCGGTACCAATATTTTTACCAGAATAGGGGTTTGTTTTGAGGTGCCTACCTTTCTGGGTGCATGTCTCAGTCGATGGCAGACATAGAATTTTCCCAAGCACAGGGGGCTTTGTATAGGCCATTGCTCCTCGTGCCTCTCTGAGGGGGGCTAGGTTCTGGCTCGTGGTCCCTGGTAGGCAAAAAGTCCAAGCACATTGACTGATGCCAGAAAGTTATACACATCCATTCAGCCTGGATAGCTCCGGAAAGCCGACAGGGGTTCCCCCAAAAAAGCATGTTGCTCCTCAGGGGCTGCAACTTGACTAAACTCTACCATAAATTACCATACAATGCAATGACATAGGTGGCATCAAGTCAGACAGAAGAGGAACTTGAATTGCACAGTAGAGAATCGAAGCAGCTCAAGCCTTCCAGTTACATCATGGCACCATCAATGAGGGGAACATGCTGTCATGTGCATGCACTTTAACTCTTTGTCCAGTATCCCAAGAATACATTATATGAAATACTCTTCTCTTTATTAAACCCTCCATTTATATCTCATCAATTCATTTATTTACTGGTAATTCTCTTGAATTTAAATTAAAAGTTTGAATATTTAATAAAACTTCGATGTCCTTTCCTTAAAATATAATATACTCTACTGTACTAACTTTTTGCTTGTGTCACGAACAGCTAAAGATGTGCTGCTTGCTAGATCCAATAACCCAATGGCTGGCTTTGTAACTGTGCCCACCATTCCCTTAGCAAAGCCAGATAAGAATCCCTGCAAAGTAAACATTGTAATGTTAATTTTTATAAAAATGTTATAGTTTCTTTAAACTAGCTACCACAGGGCATTTATCACTTGATAATTTGAAACCTTAATAACAATATTTTATTAAATATTTAAGAAATTCTCTAAATAAACAACCTGGGGCCAGATTCACGAAGCAATTACACAAGCACTTACTAACCTATACATCTTTTCTCAATCTTTGGCGGCTTTGTTTACAATTGCTAAACAGTTAATGAGCTCCGAAGCACCAGGAGGCTGTTTATAACAATAACAGTTGATTGGGATGTTTTCATGCTTGTAAACTGTTTAATGAATGTAACCAAAGCCATTAAAGTTTGAGGAATGATGTACACATTTATAAGTACTTGCGTAACTGTTTTGTGAATCTGGCCCAAGAAACTTACTGGAAAGCCTTCCTGTGTTGCTCCAGTGTATGTTTGTGAGACAATACTAGTGAGTCCACCATAAAGTCCTAAGCCAAGGCCTCGCAAACCTGCCACAATATGGTCTGCTCCATTTACTGCTTGTAGGGCACGTAATTTCTGTCGATGTTCCTCGTGTTTCTCATCCATGGTAACATGACCAACAGCATCTGACAGCGACCCTATAATGTGTAAAATCAATAATGGTTCAAGTACATATAAGACACATTAAATTTATGTGAAAGAGGTATTAAAACTTGTGTGGACACAAAACAGTAAAAGTTAAATGGCAAGGATGATGGCCAAAAAACCAGCATTGAATGTAATGAAATGCTATTTTCTGGGCGAGTCCCGGAGGTTCCTCGGAGCTATCCAGGCTGAATGGATATGAATAACTTTCTGGCATCAAAGTGCTAGGAGTTCTTGCCTACCAGGGACCACGAGCCAGAACCTGGCCCCCTCAGAGAGGCACGAGGAGCAATGGCCTATATTAACCCCCTTGTGGTTGGGAGCATTCTATGTCTGCCATCGACCGGGATAGGCACCCAGAAAGGTAGGCGCCCCAAACCAAACCCCTATTCTGGTAAAAATATTGCTACTGAAAGCTGAACGAGTGGACAGAACTCCCCAAACAAAATTATCTAACTAGCATGACGTCATCACTTCGCCGCGCCACCATCTGCGCAGCACCCCCCTCCCCGGGAGGCGGAAGGGGGAGCCCTAGACCCTCCACGCCGGCGATCCAACTGGCAGTTCTTAGGCTGGATATCAAAATACGCGAAAAACGCCGCCGACCGGAGGGAGAGAGGGATGCCAGGGAGCCTCCGGGACTCACCCAGAAAATGGCATTCCATTACATTCAACGCTGGTTTTCTGTGGGAAGCCCCGTCGGCTCCCCAAAGCTACTTCACCACAGATAAGGTAAACAGGGAAGGAGCCAGGAGGCGGATGCCACGCGCCCTAACCTAGAAACCAAGACCACAGACAACACAAAGACCAAAACGAGAAGAAAATAGACCACCCAGGCCAACTACCAGGATGGCACCAGAACTAAAGAGCAGGCCACAGGCGAACAACGCCCAGGACAGCAAGTGGAACGGAGCAGAAGGAACTGCAACACCGAACGCAAGCAGGAGCGGCTCCGCCGGCACCACCCAATATGAGGTGACAGGACACGAGCCCAGACGACAGACCCGGAACAACCCTGAAGGGAAGACAAGCCAACCCTATCTAAGACCGAAGGACCCTTCGTAGTGATAGGAAAACCGGAAGGACCGTCAGGAAAACCACACACCGCCCCAAGACAAAACACGCAGGTGGGAGACCAACAAGGAACCCACCAGTGCCGACGCAAATGACGAGAAACTAGCACCACGAACGAAGACGCAAAATGCGAATCGAAAAACTGCAACCCCACAACCCAAAGGAGCAAGCTAACCAGCTCCAGCAGGGAAGAAAGACGCACGCGTCCCAGAGGCATCCAAGAGGAGATCTACCCAGGACGTGAACCGCAGGAAAGCAAACACACCCGTTCCAGAAAAGGAACAAAGAAAGACTGGAGCCAGGACCGGAACCCAGCAAACCTGGTTCCAAGAAAAGAAACCAGAAAGACAGGAGCGGCAGACCAAAAGTCCACAACCCCCCACAGACAGAGCAACACCGAAGCCTGCAGGAAGTTACACAGAAAAACGCAGGAACTCGGTACCAAAACGGAACACCGGAGAAGTCCAAAAGCAGGGAACTGAACATGGACAGAGGCCCACCTGAGCACCAAACAACAGGATAGGCCAGAAGCACTGACCCAGATACACAAATAGGTGGAGCATGGGAGGAGGAAAAACGGGAATAGGTAAGGAAAACCCCGAATACAGCCCAAGGAGTGGCCGGGAAGTAAGGCACACGACCAACCACAAAATGTGTAGAGGAGGGCGTACATACCCGATGAACCTCATGGACAGCAGGGTACAGTCAGGCACCGAAGTTAGGCAAGGAATGAGTGTCCCGAGAGGGAAAGACCCAGGTGTTGACAACGAAACCAAAAGCGCCAAAATGCGAGGCAGAGCCCAACAGGACAACAAAGAACAAAAGACAGGGACAAAAGTCACTGAAGACCCACGCAAAGTGACCAAACACACCACACCAAACACCCCTTTTTGGAGCCATCGACTCAATCCCGCCAAGCGGAGAAGAGTAAACAAGGATGGAGCACTGAACAAGGGTGGTGGAGTGAGCAGATTATCCCAATAAGATACTTGCTCCAAACGCATTAGCCTAACGAGAGAAGCAAAGCTCTATGGAGGACCAATCATGAAACTCAAACCGTTCCAAACTTCCAGTTAATATGCCTGCCAACCTTTGGAGAACGGCGAGGTATCGCCCGAACAAAGAAGCAGCAGAGTAGCGAATAATAACTAGGCGATCTGCAAGTGTGCTCTAGAACAGACACTTGCGAGAAACCGTACCGACTCCCAGCACGCTGAACTCGCACCATTGCCCACCAAAATAACACCCACATACCACTGTATACGCAACAAAACATATGCAGCCTCTGAGTGGTTGTGTTTATTGTCACCAATCTTCACAGAACAATAGAACTGGGACAGAGGCACACGCCACCCTTGGAGCACATTTTGGACACGAAACAATGGGCATAAAAGGGATAAGTGTAGAATCAGGAAAGACTTGAGGAATGACCGGCACGGTAACAGGTTCGGTGATTCGCGGAACCAATTACCGCGTAATGTGGTGGTGGGGCCCCACGATTTGTGCAAAAGTGGGTTGGACATGTATATGAGCGGGAATGGTTGGGAAGAAATAGGAGCTGCCTCATACGGGCCAATAGGCCCTCTGCAGTTCCTCTGGTCTTATGTCCGTATGGTCATATGCACAAGGGGACACAGGAGGAAGCCGAGTACCCAAAGGAGCCATAGACACGAAAAAGAACCCGATCAATGTCAGAGGGGAAAGGAAGCAGAAATCCCTAAGAAGCTATGTGGTGGAGGCAGACTCCACCCACAGGAGCAACCGTAGAGAAGACAGAGCCCAGAAGGCTCAGGAAACTGCACAACTGTCAACTGACAGGAGAGGCGGGGCCCAAGAGCCAGAGATCAACCCCCACAAGCACAACTAGGCAAGCACCCCACCAAAAAGTGAGAACCAGCCCATGGCCGACAGAAGCGACAGATAATTTTGTTTGGGGAGTTCTGTCCACTCGTTCAGCTTTCGGTAGCAATATTTTTACCAGAATATGGGTTTGTTTTGGGGCTCCTACCTTTCTGGGTGGTCGATGGCAGACATAGAATGCTCCCAACCACAAGGGGGTTTCTATAGGCCATTGCTCCTCGTGCCTCTCTGATGGGGCCAGGTTCTGGCTCGTGGTCCCCGGTAGGCAAGAACTCCTAGCACTCCTATTCAGCTTGGATAGCTTCGGGGAGCCGATGGGGCTCCCCTCCCGTCGTAGAGGCGACGTCCGTCTGCCAGCACATCAGTTTAAGAACTTGGGTGGTGCCGTCTCTCCCGGAGTAGCTCCCCCCCCCTGCGAGGGGGAAGTGGGGTAGTGCTAATGACGGGGGGGGGGGGGGGGGAGGGAAGGGGGGGTTGCTAGTTTGATGACATGTTGCTTGTTTGTTTTTTTTCTCTTTTTTCTTCTCTTTTCAGCACATAACTTGCATTGTGTAACCAGACAGAGGTCTGTTTTGTTTCGCCTAACTTTCAGGGTCCTTCCTCGGTCTGTGGCAATTATGTCAAACTTTAAATGTAAAGTGCTCATAGGCCATTGCTCCCTGCACCTCTCTGAGGGGGCCAGGTTCTGGCTTGTGGTTCCCGGTAGGCAAAGGACTGATTGATGACCCCAAACTAATATAAACCTATAACAGTTCAGATAGCTTCAGGGAGCCGATAGGGCTCCCCCATCCCCAGATATTCTAAGGTTATTTAAATGTGAGTTAGGAACAGAATATAGTGTCAGTAAAATACAGCAAGAAATAAACAAAAATATTTGGAAATGCTTTTCTATTAGTTTACTGTTCAATACAAAAGTTTCCTAATACAAAACTATACATTTTTCTGCACTATAAAAATCTGACTCCTGAATTTGACAAAGTAACTGGGATGTTGCGATGCTGAGATATTGAGAGAGAGAGAGAGAGGAAATGAGATACCAGGATGTAAGGATTAGTAATGTTGACCAATTTGATCAACAGCTTGTCACTTATCAGTAACAGCTGACTAATTTCTGCATCATTATATGAACACTATACAAGCCATGAACATTCTATTTAGCCAAAAGGTCAATAGATAAGGTAGTAGCTAAGTTAATTATGGAAAATTTTCTATATTTTTAAAGGTAAAGAGGTATGTTTTTCTATATAATGAAAACTAAATACAAGAACTTTATTATGTCTCATTTTGGTTGCCTTAAAATGAACAATATGCTAATGTGGCATCTCACACACAAAAGGTGAAGTAAGGCGTCACTGCTGCCATGACGGTCGTAACGGTAAGTTTTAACATTCACTTTACATTCAGCACAAACACCAATCAATGCTCTTAAGAGGTATTTCGAGACCTAAGCTTTGTATCATAATTATAACAATAATACTTTTCATTATCAATATAAAAAACCAATGTTGAATGTAATGAAACACCATTTTCTGAGGGGAGCCCCTACAGCTCCCCGGAGCTATCCAGGCTGATATGGATACCCCTAACTTTGGCATCAGTCGAAGTGGGTGGAGTTAAAGGCCTACTGGGGACCACGAGCCAGACCCTGACCCCCTCAGAAAGGCACTAGGAGCAATGGCCTATAGAAATGCACATGTGATTTTGGAGCATTCAGTATCTGCCATTGACCGGAAAGGTAAGCGCCCCAAAACAAACCCCTATTCTGGTTAAAACGACGAAAATAGACAAACGAGTGGACAGAACTCCCCAAATGAAAACTGTTATATGAGCACGACGTCACACGAGCCACATCGCATGTCTGTGCAGCTCCCCCCTTCCTGGGAAGGTGAAGGGAGGAGCTCCAGACCCCTGTGCCAGTGATCTACACTCCAGTTCTGATTAAAATACTGTACATGAAAACCGCCGACCGGAGGGCGGGAGGGAGAATTGCCGGGGAGCCTCCGGGACTCGCCCAGAAAATGGCGTTTAATTACATTTATCGCTGGTTTTCTGGGGGAAA